TTTTATATAACGGGCGAGAGTTATGCCGGCGTTTATATCCCAATGTTGGCCACTGAGATATTGAAGAGAAAATCAACCATTAATTTAAAGGGTATTTTTTTATTCGTTATATTTTTAAAAAATTGCAGTTTTTATTAAAATATTTATTATTTATTACCAATAGGTATAGCAATTGGCAATGGATTACTGGATGGCGATAGCAATTATCAGGCGGGCTTTGACTATCTCTTAGGACACGGATTAGTGACCACTGATTGGTACGAGAAGAAGTTGGAGGCCTGTTGTCAATGTACGGCCGGTACTCAACACGAGTGCAATTTTACTAAAGCGCCCAATAAAACGTTAGTACAATTTTAGTAAATACTTTTACTTACTATTAATTATTTAAATTTTACTAAACAATCTATCGATGTACTAAGTTTTCTAGTTGCATTCACAATATAAATTACATAACTTTATTATGATAGCAAATGTGAATCAGTACCCGATACATATGTGAGTACTCCTAACTTATACAATATATACGACGAGTGCTACCCAGACCTGGACTTACAGCACGCCTTTAACACATACTCTAAACAACATTTCGACAAAATGGGAGTGAAATTTGCATTAAATGGTGAATACAAACGAAACGTGAATAAACCCAAGTGTCCAGTGAATGGTCACACGCCGTACCTAAACCTCCCGGAAGTACGCAAAGCACTTCACGTGCGCGAAGACGCCAAACACTGGAAGGGTTGCGGCGGTAGTTATGACCCGAGCGGTGGTTATACTATACAAACACGAATAGCCATAGATTTGATCAATAAGTATAAGTTGGAAAAACTGGTTATATATAACGGAGATTTTGACACGAGGTGTAACTTCATAGCCGATGAACGCTTTGTCGACGGACTCGGTTTCAAGAAGACTAACAGATATGAGTATGTCTTATGATATTTGATGTATTGATATATTTAATAATTGTTATACATTTGTTGCAGTCCATGGCATGTGGATGGAGTGATCGGTGGTTTTGTGGCCAACTATGAACGTGGTTTGAGTTTTGTGTTATTCCGCGGGGCCGGACATATGGTGCCTCAGGACAAACCCGAGGCCGCACTTCATTTCTTTGAGAGTTTTCTCGGATTGAAAAAGTTGTAAATATTTGACAAATTATGCAACTTATCTCAAATAATAATAACATTTTGAATAAATACAATGAACTATAGAATTTGGCATTTGTCAAATGATTTTGTGTTTATTGAATAAATCTTATGACAGAATATTAAAACTTAAAAATTGTCTATATTTTGTTATACTTTGGCGATAAAAATATATAAATAAAAATGATTATTCAAATTATAAACTGTTTATTTTGAGTAAAAATTATACTTTTCAATGTGTTTTATAATCTAAAGTTTATGCAAAGATTCTAAACCTTATGCAAAAATTAACATTTAATTAAAAAACTACCAGGAATAGTTAATAGTTAATAATAGTTAATTATCTATAATAATAGATATTACGTTATTAGATACTAAATGTAATTACAATGATAAGCTACTAAAAGTCTATGACATTGTATGTTAAAATTCAATTTAATATTTTATAATTTCAGAATATATTACATCAATTATAGTAAAAATATCTTTGACATCAAATTCAATAAAATGTTATAAAAAATCAAAATCCATTTCAAATTTTAAAAATTATTTCTCTTATTGGCTACGAATGAGTTATCAAATCAATAATAAAATCAACATTTAAGACAAACAAGTGAAAAAAGAGCAAATAATATGTAATACAAATGTAAATAAAAATTGATTCTTTGGTGTGAAAAAAGTTGAAAATAAATTCATTTAAAAGTTTGTGAAAAAACAAATATAATAGATATTATCACTATTGAGAAAAGAAGACAAAATTAAACATTAGATGCGAGGGTTATATGTGAGCGAAATATTCATTTGTTGGACATCTCCGTCGACCCCTTCAGACTCAAAGCGCATCGCGACGACCAATTGGTGTGCATCAGAGTTACCACCGGTAGGCAACACGTGATGAGCGCCCGACTGCTGCTGTGCTTTGTGTTTGTCGCCGTTCTCTTTGTTCTTCTTGGAGGACAAACGCCGAACCAAATGATTATCTTTAGGCGACGTCTTCCGCACCAATTGCTTCACTGATGAACCGGCGATCGACTCATCGGCTCTTCGGTTATTGGCCGTTACGGTTGACGCGGAGGTCTTCTTCAAACTGGTCCCCACCAAAGACACACCGAGTGGTGCGTACGAGTCGTCAATGTTTTGGTGCAGCATTTGAACCGGAGTTACGGGTTGTGCCGTCATTGGTGTCAAACAAGTGGTGCATAGAGTGGGAGTACTTTGACACTCGTGTGTATTGTGATAGGAATCGGACGGGTATTTCAAAGCAAAGATCCAGTTGTCCTCCACTGTGAGAACGCGACCAGAAATTCGGCCGTAATATTCGTAATTATCTCTACCGAAGAGATTACTCGCACCGAAGTTGTCGATTAAAAAGCTTATTATAGCAGTGGCCACAGCTGTTTGTGCCTTATATCGGGGTAAGTCATGGCTTGTGGTCAATTCCTGAACACCCCATTGGAACAAAATCGGAGCAAACAATATACCGATTGTTTCCGATGTTATACAAGTGATGGCCCGTTGAGAACATGTGGCCATCGCTCGGAATGTGCCGAACAGAAGCACCAGAAGGTGTTGAGCGACGACTGGCATTGACGTCAGAATCCTATGAATTGCGTCCCTCTTTTCTTCAATGCTTTCCCATTCAATGATATTAAACAATCGTCGTTCTCTTTCGGCGCCAAACACTCCCGACGGTAACTCATTCAGGAATTGCTTCAACACATCAGCAATTGTATAGACACAGTAGTTGTCAATATTGACCAAACGACCCGTCTTTACACACAGAGACACATAGATATTATTCAATGTGAACACAGATTTGTTTGTTTGACTCAAACCTGGAGGAATTGGATGAGTTCCGTTCTGCTGCTGTGATGTCCACACCTGCGAAACACCATCTGTTTGAAAGGCGCCTCTTTGTTAAGCTTGAGAATCATGACGAGAAGGGCTGCGGGAATGTCGTCGTGAGCGCCGCACACGTCCTCCAGAGGAATGCCAAACTTGACCCTAAAATTGATCCCAAGAAAAGGACTCAAATAATTGCGTATTAAAGAGATTAAACACAAACCTTTCGGTCCGGAAATGACTGGAAAGCGACCGCATTCTCGATAACATTTAGATTTTAATCAATTCAATGGATTAGTGATGGGATTAATAGTAATAGTGTTGAGCGATAAACCAAATCACACATTCATCGAGCGCTTGGGCAAGATTTTAAATTAAAATTTTTAATGAAGACTTGGTAGATTTTAGTGAAGACTTTATGAAATGTGGTGTCGAGTGAAAAATACTGTCTAATAGTTTTAATGCATGTTATAATCAATACTAACAGTCAATACTATTGATACTAATACTAAATGAATGCAAATTCGGTACGAATTCATGCCTTCATTGCTGTTCAGTCACTACTCGATCATTGAATCACTGATCGGACCTCATATTGCTTTGGTTAACAAAATACTTTACATTACTGTCATGTGATTGAAACGGACGGTCATCCAAACGGAATCTAACTGCCTCTGCCATACATGACTACCTCTACACTACTAAAAATCATTTGTAAGTTAATAAAGAGTCTCCGTTTGGATGACCGTCCGTTCAAATGATTATGTAGTTATATTTCATAGAAAAATAAATTTTCCATATTTTAAATACAACTTTAATTGTAACTTTGAACACAACTTGAATATAAAATGTTTCACACAATGTTTTATTAAACCTAACATTTTCTATTCATTCATTCATTTCGTATAATTTGCAACATTTCTTATCATTTATTAATTTATTTCAGTTTCATTACTGTTTTACAAATTATATCAAAGTTTTCCTAATATTAATGGAGAAGTTATGATTATTTTTATACAGTACATTGGGTTTTTAAAATATTTAAATTTTAAAATAAAACAATATTCAACTTAATTAACTACAAGTAAAATATGAGTACATTGTTAACAGTGTAACCATGGTACAATGTATAAAAGTATATCAAATTATCATTGTTTTAATGGTGGGTTAAGGGCATTCTTGATGATACGATAAGCCACAGAAATAGCATACAATGTAAGACATTCACAAAATAAAACAATTATAAGGTTACAGGTTAATGGTTACACTCAAAAAGTTTTCAGTTTAAAGGTTACACAAGACTTGTGCAAAATTTATTTAAGAAAGTATTGAATTACAGATTATATCAAATATACATTTAAACACACGACTAGTTTAACCATTATTTAAATGAGATATAAATTGTATTTATAATATACAGTATATCAGGCATAATAGCCCCAGAAAAAGGATCCGATCCCTACCACAAGAATTGCAAATAAATTATTCACTGATCGCCAAACGGGTGTTTCTTTGACATCATTAGAGCAACGGATCGCTTCCTCCTCTTTGGTTAATGGTATGATACCTTTTTCTCCATCGTTACCGTTATATCCTTTCTCCTCTCTTTCTATGGCCGACTTCTTCCCAGAGCCCACACAACATAATGTATACAATAGTCGACTCCTATTCTCATTATCACCTGATTTTGACACAACGTTGTTATTTTGAGGTCCAGTCGATGCCGATTCTGTGCCGTCTTCGACGACGAAACCATTGTTTGTCTGTCCGCATGTCTCGGTCTCCGCCACCGCATCGTTGTCTATATCTTGGCGCACTTCATGACTACCTCTCGACCAATAAGTCAAGCGATACAACTACAGTATTAGTGACACAATTAGTAAAAGTATAAATTGTTTGCACAAATATTTACGTGTTTTTCATCAATAGGTTTGGTTAATAAACTGATGGCAATTGTAACCGCCGATGAGATAATGAATAATATAATTCCGAAATGTAAATAATGTACTTTTGATAGTATGGTAGGTCTCGGGTCCGCGATTCCCGAACCACACGTCGGGACACTGTATGAGAACTCCATCACAAACCTAATAATGCCGATCACGAGACCAATGATTAGCCCCCAAAAGGCGCCCTTTTCGTTGATTCGGCCCCAAAACATGGCCAACACAT